GTGTGTGTGTGTGTGTGTGTGTGTGTGTGTGTGTGTGTGTGTGTGTGTGTGTGTGTGTGTGTGTGTGTGTGTGTGTGTGTGTGTGTGTGTGTGTGTGTGTGTGTGTGTGTGTGTGTGTGTCTTGCTGTCCTGTGGCCGATTCCTGGATGTGTTGTGGTGCTTCTTCTTGGAATGAACAGACCGTGAAGCAGGACCAGTGAGTACCACACAATCATTTATATCAAGTACACCCGCAGTCTTCCACGCAATTGGTCGGCAGGTTTAAAAGAAAAAACCTGTCGGCAAATTCCGTGGGGACAGGTTTTCTGTTTTCTTTGGCTGTAAAAAACATAGAAAAGTCCAAATAAAGACTCAGAAATCTGATAATTTGTAAAAAGAAAAATTCATCTTTGCTTTTTTTTGTCATTTAGTTAAACAGGAAAATTTGTCACTTTTTTACACCTTTATGTAATACCTTTTACGATTCTAATTAAAGGGAATTTCCTTAGATATTTATTCAATATTTTGTATTTATTAAACTATGCTTACATTCCCGTAAAAAATAATAATAATGAGTATAATAATGATGAGTTTATTTAGCGGCTAATGTCCGTATTTGTGACTGAAAACAGCATTTTCTACAGTTTTGTACTCAATATGAATTGTATGACTAGTTGATTTTCCTAAATATGTGCAGATTATTTTTCTAAGAATTTACATATCGTTAAATCAACTAATCTTTTCAGCCGATGGATTATTTGAGACTTCGACAGAGACTTAAATATATGCATACACTGGTGTTCAGTCACTGAAGCTGAACCTTGTATGGGGATGATTCAGATCTCAGCATTATTTCAACACTGCCTAAAAGTTATGACAGTTATTATTATTTAAAAAGCTATGTATCAGAACACACTCTCACACTGCTCCCAGTCTTCTCTGAGAACCTAAAGAAAACTTGAAGCGTTCTCTTTCTCCCTCCTCTCCCTCCTCTCCTCCAGCGAGCCTCCGGTCGATGCCGGCTGATATTCTTCTCTCACATTAATCTCCGCAGCTTATGAGCCTGACATGATTTATGCAGTCCCTCTCACCTCATTATCACCCTCTTCCTCCCTCACTGCCCTCACTACTTCCTTCCTTCCCCTCCATGCACATCTCCCCCTTTTTATTGCTGCTTGCCTCACCCTCTTGCTCTCTCTCTCTCTCTCTCTCTCTCTCTCTCTCTCTCTCCTCCTGCAGAGCTCTCTGTCCAATGGGGATAAGGGTCGGGCGGCAGAATACCTCAGCAACGGCAAGAAGAGGAAAGCTGAGGAGAAGGAGTTCATGACCGACTATGTGAGGCTCTTTCTCCACTCTGTTAAATGTTTAAGTACCTGCAGCTTCACCCAACTCTGCCTCCTAAGACCAGGTGTTTCTATACTGCATACCTCGGATCGTGCTCTTCTTTATGGACCGTATTTCAAATCATCAGTATCTGCTGCCATCACTGTATGATTGGCAGTTTTGTGGATAAGCAGACTCATCAATTGGAGTGTCCCCTAAAGCCAAACAAGCGTATACATGTAGAGATATCTTAAGAAAAAGACTAGAAACAGGAGCGTAACCCCTAGATTCCACCGGGTCCGTCTGCGTCGCGTAACGGCCGCGCCGCGGTTTTGGTCCGGCCTCCTCCGGCGTAATACCCGACCGGGCGCGTTTCAGAAGCGGAGCGTCTTGCCTGCCGGCTCGCAGTTTTTGTTGATTTGGGCATGTTTCCTGGACAGGCTACTTTGTACAGACAAAGTTAATAATAATTGTAATATCCCAGTTATAAACGACATGAATCAAAGATGTGTTGCTGTATTTTAGTGGTAAAAAAATGCATTCATAATCATTCTGTATATATGATTTACACTCTGCCTGTCAACCGGAGGAGAACGCTGGCATTTCTCCTCCTACTTGAAAGACTACGGAGGGATAGGGTCTGCAAAATGAGTTTGTGTGTGTGTGTATATGCTCTGAACGTTCCACTTCCTGCCTGCCCGACATTAGCTTATGGCTGCGTCGCGTCAAAAAATAGACTTCAATCCTATTTCGAGCGGAGCCCAGCGGCGAGACGCTTCTGAGCCGTAACGCGGCGCGTCTGGTGGAATAGCACCCCGTTGACTTCGAGTGGCCGCGTCCTTTGCGGACGCCTGGCTGGGCCGGTAAACGCCGAGCGCGACCCGGTTGGGAATCTAGGGGCTAAGATGGTCGCTGTGTAAATAGTCACAGATATTAGTATGTCAGGCCTTTGAAAATAAGGGAAGCAAGAAGTTGGCTATGAATATATAAAATCCGTATTCAATTGAAAGTATATGTGGAGCTGCCAGGATTTCAAACCCATAAATGCATGATTCTTAGAATAAGCACACATGTTTGTTTGATCAGATGTCTTAAGAGGCCGCTATTTATGTTTTGTTATGTGTTTTTTTCCGCTTCCCTTGACGGATAGACACAGAGGAGGCACAAACATACATGAAACCTGTAAATGAGCATAATAAGGGGCTACACCTTGATATATTCTTTTCGATAATGATGATGTTATGTTCAATTATTACGCACGCAGTAGGAAAATCCTTCCAAAGATATTTCTCCAAACTATTATTTTTACAAATCTTACAGTTCTACTTTCAGTTCTGAAAAGAGGGATTTTTTTTTATTGTGTGACAAATTAATACTCTAGGTAGCTCTTTCAATTCGAACACTAGCAATATCAAAGGTTGCCCTGAGAGGTGGTGTACCTCCCTACCGCGGCACAGTTCTGCTGCTTTCTTAGGTTAGAAGCCACCTTGCAGGCCGGTCCTCCGGGGGGGGGGGGGGGAGACTCGTCACACCCATGGCTCATTGGGGACTTGAAGCCCTCAGCAGGGAGGCCTCACAGAAATATGTCAAAAACCTAGGGACATGTTTCTGAAAAAACACAGGTCAAATCCATAAGAAGTTGCCCATTTTGAAGCTTAGAGATGTGTTTTTATAATGTAATCGATCCGGAGGAGAGCTGAAGGTTTCAACTTTGTCGGGTTTTCCCTCTCCAGGGGTCCTTCTGGATAGATGAAGCTTTCTATTTGTCTCCCTGCAAGCATGCCGTAGGAGTACCTGTCATTGATTTCAAGTCTCATTAGGATGGAGGCAAAGATCTGTCCTGAGTCTTGTGTGGCATGTCAAAGTGTCATTTCAATATGGAATTCTCCCACACAGTGTTTTCACAACACACACAAATGCACTTTAAATTGCACTTCAAACAAACTCAACCAGATAGCCGTTTCCAGTGTGAGAGCGGCTCCAGGGCCATTTGGAGCCCCTCCCCGAT